AAATTAAAAAAAAAAATCAAATCAAAGTTTCTCGTTATACACATAGCATAATGTAATATATATGGAATACAGTCATAATATACGTGTAATGTGATAAAACCAAGCTGTTGCTCCTATAAGGTGTTTGCTACTTAGGACAATCTACTGTCTTATCTAGTAGTATTTTAAAACAAATTAATACCAATAACAGTAAACTTCCATTACATGAATAGTGAAAAGCTTTCATATGACCCATGCTTTAACTTATACCAGAAGTAATCTGGCCAAGAAAAGCCTGGTTTATGATGTACTTGTACTTGGTACAACAACTTTCAACATCAGAACACCAGAAGGAATGTAAGCTTCATAAAAACGTTAACATAAGCAATGCTGTCACTAACAACAAGAAAACAATACTGGAGATGAAGCCCCGTGTGAGAGTACATAATAAATTTAAACCTTGCATGGCTCCTCTCACCTGTCTTTTTTAGTCCTCCCTACTATAAATAACCTAGTGTAACAACATTCTGAGTTTTAGATGTGGTTAAGTTACCAGAAACCCTCACTATGTCAAAATAGTCTTCAACTTTAATCACTTGTTTATCACCTCTTTTATTTTCGATATTCATTCATGTTATAAGTGTTAGGGTACTACATGGTTCTAATTTTAAAAGTAGTTTGATAAAATCACTGCAAAACATGTCTTCTTTTTTTTAACAACTACTCATGAATTTTCAAAAGCAAGAAATTTAGTTTACCTTTTTATTTGTAACATTTGTCAACTCAAAATAACAATGCTGATCATATTTGCAGACAATAAATCAAGCGGTTTATAACTAATTATTTTATTTTTATTAAGAAACCAAGAGTACATTAGAAAAATTGTTTATGACAATAAATGAAGTAGTTTATTAAACATGGAACATAAACAGCTGATTTTTACGATTTCTTTTTCTAATATAAGGCAATTTCGTAATTCTAACTTTAAAAAATAATTTCCATTTTTCTTTAAATAATCAAATCAAACTATCAAATACACAAGCAATACCACAATTTGATATTTTGAAATTCCGAAACAGAAGAATTAACTAATAATTTGTAGCTAATAATTTTAGATACTGCTTTTTTTTTTTCCAGAGAATTTTGTAAGTTGTATACTTTAAGGTAAGTACTGGTCACAAAGAATTATTCTGGATTAAATTCAATTTTAACATTTTTGTGTTAAACCCTATACCAAGATAAAACAATTTCTATATTAATTAAAGAAGTAACATCACTTTAATTAATATTTGTAAAATTTTATAGTCAAACATAATTAACATTTAAAGAAAACAAAAGTGATTCTCCAGTACAGAAACAGATCCACAAAAACTATGTATTTTTACATCAAACAGTTCACATTTGGATTGGATTTGCTATAACACTCAGCCTCACAACAAACATTCAACATTAGTATGTAATTTGTGTGATATTTTATCAAGTTTCTGTCCACTAATCTTGACATTTAATGCAACACACTATGTGAAGAAAACAATTATTTGCATGACTTCAAAGTTAATTTCTTAACACTTTAACTTCCATATGTGACAAACAAATGCATCAACAGTATACAGAACTTTAAATAAAATAGATATTTAAATGGCTTTACGAGATAGTGGTCAATGTTTTGGACCAAGGAACTTCAGCATGACCCAAGTTTTAGGCATAAACACCCACTTCAACTTTTCATACTCTGCATTTTTTTTTTGCATACAAGTATTTTTAATGACTACGTTTGTTAACAATAAAAAATTTTTGAGCTCTGTATAAAGTACGATGTTCTACAAAAACAAGAAGGAATCCTCAATAGCCACAGCTGTAATTAGATCTCAAATGGGTCAAGAGATGGAGTTATGAGCTAAAAGTTTGTACTTGATCAAAAAAACTTAAGAGCCATTCTATGAGCTACTATGTCACAGCTAAAAAAGTAATGATTTGTACATCTCTACAATAAGCTGTAAGCCTGGCCATATGAATAAGTCTAAATTAAAGTCTTTGTTGGTTTAACACTTGTCTCAATACTTGTGATGTGTTTTTATAATACATTAAGACTAAATGAAATAAAATTCATTACATGTTTTCTTCCCTCTTGAAATTTCAAAGAGAATCCAAGCTTGAAGGAATTACTCTCACATTTATCAATTCAGCTTGGATTATGATAAACTTTATGTTAATGTTTGTATCAATGGCCTTTTTGAACTTTATGCCTTTTGTTGGTTTCTTCCTTATGATGATCACTTTTACGTTTTCTCTTTTTTGTAGTTACATCAGAGTTTGATGATGAAAAGCTCTTCACTTCATCTTCATTATCAGTGCTAGAACTACTGCTACTGGTATAATGGTGAGACTTCTTTTTTGACTTCTTTTTCTTCTTCTTCTTTGCTTTACAAGAAACATCTATTATCAAAAAACGTTTGTCCTTGAAAAGATATAATGCATTTTTGTGTTACCTATAAATTATGACATATGCTGGCATTATGACTAATTTCCTATTTTCTGTTTAAAAAAACAAACTTAACTGCACTCTACCTGTTCCATTTCAAATTTAGTTAACAGCAAGAATTATGTCTTTAAGACAATGACAATAAAAAAATCTTGGTGGACATACAATATTACACATTTAACCCAGTGACTGCTGATTTGCCATATAGGGTACAGTCCGCCTCTGGAAGTTGAATTCAAGTGTACTGTACACAGTGTACGGGTTGCAAAAATTTCACATGCGTTTAGAGCAGCTGCAATGAATTGGTTAAAGAAAAATACAACACCTTTACAATCTTAGAACTTTCTATGCATGCCGAGTCAAATAACATACCATGTTAATGAAGACACAAGACACATTTTCAGCTGAGGAAATGCAATCCATAAAACTTATGTTACTAAGCTAAACTGGTTTGCAGAAGTTAAGCAATATACCTAAAATACAAATAATGGTAAAATGGTGCAAGATTTATTCACTAGATTTGGATTACCTGTCCATATTTACATAATACTGTACAACTTATGACAGAACAATTATAAATTAAATGTTTAATAGGTGTCCAAGAAAAAAAACAAGAACCAATGAAAATAAAGAATTTAAAATGATGAATAATCACTACCTATAAAAGGCTTATTCCCTATGTCACTCTGTTGAGAATGCTTTCACACTCCGTGTTTAGTAATGCTCAACAATACACATTGTCATTTAGCAACAAAACAATTACCTGATTGTTCTTAGGCCAACTGTAGTGTTTATGTTGAATGCTCAATATTCATGTTTATTATGTTAGAAATGTTTTTTTTTAATTCTTTTCTTTTTGTTAAAGTTGGTGATATAACAGCAAAATAGTCTAATTCAGAAATTTTATGACATTGAGTTGTGGCCAAAAGCAAAATAAAATTTACCAAGTGTTTCAGCTAAGCCTTACGTTACATTTATGTATTAGGCCTAATGCTTAAATTAGACTATAAATAGGCTTACTGTAACTAACATTGTAGAGTCAGTGTTTAAAAAGTTTTAAGTGGGGAATAAATGTTAAATAATAAATATTCTTTTGGTATTTTAAAATATATATTATCTACTTGGTCTTAAAACAAATAAAAATAAACATTTATTACTACCAAATACCTTTTATCCTTTGTACAGTTTAAAAGAGTTGAAAATTTGTGTTGAAATGTTTGCACAATGTTTTTTACTTCCTGACTTAGAATACAGTGAAAAGGGTCAAGAGTGCTATTTAAGTCTCTTTCAGAGTTCACACGTAATTTTATTTGTGATAACATTTAATTTTTCTGCATAGTTTTAACTAAAAATGTGGTGATTAAAGAATTACTTCGAGACTGATGAAATAAGTGAAGAGTAGGTGCATTTTGGAGGTACAGAAAAATTCGTTTAGTTAAATTATATATTTTTCGTTAATCATTCAACAATGATTTTCTGTCATTTTGACCGGCTTTTCTACTAGTAAGTGATATTCAATGGGGACGTCTCACCTGATAACTAAACCCATTTCACAGCTTTTTTGTATACTGATTATAAGGTGATCAATGAGAGCAAAAGTCAAAAGAGTCCATGGACATATCAGAGCAGTTTTCATAACTCAGAAGGAGACAATATGCCTTCCTGGAGTATCCCAAAAAGGCTCTATGCAAATGTGGTCAGGTGAACATGTTGAACAGTTCATACAGATGATGGTAAGGGGTTGGAAGGAGACAAAACATCTTCCTAGAGCATCACTTGCATGCTTTATGGAATTGACATCAGAAGAACATGTTGGCCAACATACTGATGATAGTGTGTCCTTGCAGGTATTGGCTAACTAAACATGCCCTGTGTGGACAAGTATTATGTCCATTAACCCTATTATGATGAGTCACATTGT